CATGGCCCTTATGCGGCCAGGATTGCGGAGAATCGACAGTCGTGTACCTCGTCGGTCGGCATTATTGGCCCGATGATTACAAGACAGACCAACAGAGGGCGTCATCAATTGTTACGACTATCTTTGATATGATAGCTTTGATGGCGTTTTCCCGAGGTTTTCCGAGTGACACCGTTTCACGACTGAAACTTACTGAAAATAGTTCGTGTTGCTCTCATCGTTGAGATATTTTGAAGGCAAATCACACGGAAAGGTCATTATCATTTTTTTTGCCCCATTTCTCATTTCAGCCTTGCTTCTTTTTTCTTAATTCAATATTGAAAGATAATACCCCCGTGCTGAAAGTTGTTTTTCATATTTTCAATTTAGTTTCCAATTAATCACTGCGGATGTGATCACGGATTGATGTGCGTATACATTTAATTAAATTTAAGTCAGTAAACGGAGCTTCGTGTTTTTAGTTGTTTTCGTTAATTGTATTTTTGTAATTATAATGAAAGTTTCTACTCCAATTTCATAGTATAATGAAGGCAGAGTCGGTCGACTTTATATTAACTTTTCACGGAAGGATCCTTTAATTTTTTTTTAAAGTTAGCTAATGTTTACAAACTGTTTTAAATGAATTAGGAACACAGAATGAGACACAAATTCATAAATGTTGAGGTGTCTGTATTTTGATAATTAAATGTAAATGAGCTGAATTCAATTGTATTAATACCCCGATCTAGATTTGGTTTTAATTTTTAAAGTTAGTCATATAAATTAATGTATACAATCAATCGTAATTTGTGCAGTCAAGTGGCTGTCTGCTTATTAATCTCGATTGTCAAGATTGTTGGTGAGCTTCAGTAGACTCCAATCTGAGGTTATTGATACAAGAGTGGGGCAGGGGATTAGGTATGGGGTGACGTGGTGGATAAAGAGAGGGGGGGGCGTAGAGGAGTTGGGGGTTGGGGGGTTAAGGAGTCATGAACAACAGGTCTACCAGATGACGCTAGTGCATATAGTTGACCTGTTTGTCGGTTACTATATTTCATTACCATGATAGTGGGTTATTTTGGGCAAAAATCAAAATTGAGTGTTCTTCGGTCATATTCTGTCCTCGAACAATCAAGAATATAAACGAGGCGGTGGATTGAAGAGTATTTGGTTACCATGGCAACAGATAGCCTCGAATCCCTCTGAGAATAACTCAATCTTGTATCTTCGCCACTAGCAGGCCGCTCCGCTCTCTGATACCGGCTCTAGATGTAAGCGTCTTAAAGCTTGCTGTGCTTGGACACCAAGTTCGTTGGTTTAACAGACATAACGCCATTTTCAAACACTTTCTGTTTCCCTTGTGGGAGCGCTAAACAACCCGACATTCCAAAGTGGAACAAGCGGCAGACGATAAAATAAAATTGATTTTTTTGTTGTAACAATGCATCTAGAAACAACTTGTTTAATTCACTGAGTTAGAAAAAATGACTTACATTATCACGGTTCTTTTGCTTGTGGGCACTTTGAAGAAACAGATAATGGTGGATGTTCACGAACTGATTGATTTGATGTTAACGATATGACCTGGGTTACGTACTCCTGCACTCCAGATTTAGAGGAATCAATAGACGTACTGGTAGGTCGGATTGTGGGTGACTGACCCAGCTCAACAAACAACAGCCAAAAATAGGGGTTCCAGGTAGCCCTGTGGTTAAAGAGGCAGCTCATCAGGTCGAGGACCTGGTTCGAATCTCCACAGAGGCAACAAACAAACAGTGATCATGCGTAGATCTGGCCGGGGCAGACATTACATTCTCTGTTTTATAGCCTCTAATCTTGTAAATGTGAACGTACAAAAACATTAACTGGATTATTTATGACACGTTTTCAATTACCAAAGTTGACAATTAATGGAAATCTGATTCCTTATTTTACTGACAAAAGCGTTTTGTATCCTTATTATTTCGTTTCATATCTTAAACACAACCGCCTTTTCCAAATAAACTTAATGGGTAATGTTGGAATATCGTTTCATCGACTGCAGATAGCGCTTGAAGAATTCACTCCAACAACCTCATTCGCTCACTCTAGTTATTGTTTATGTTTAATGTAAATTTGAAAATATATTACATTTATGACAATATACAAGAATTCATGCGTGATGGCGCGTTGCCGTGTGTATGTAAATCATGTTATATGTAATAGCTCTGAACGGAAGGTGTGTCTAGCGTAACATGTTAATGCGCCGTCCCGTGTGCATCATTGTCACAGCTGATGCTGCGCACCTATCCATCAACAAAGAAACGATGCTGATATGAATATTCTGTGCTTTAGCAAATGGTTTCATTTCCCTGTCACTCAAGCTTGTGCAATTTTCAAACTGAAATGAATTTTACTACTGTTTCGGTTATTTGTTTATGATATTTAATTCTAAGCTTGTTAAATCGATATGAAATCAGTATTGGTTACAACATTAAAATATTAAATTTCACACATCTACCCTATGCATAACGTCAGCTGCCATGAGCACAAACTTGACGGATGGTGGGGGTTGCAATTAATGGCTGGTTGGCACGTAGACTTTCTCCGTGTATAAATTCGAAAAATATCGCAAAAAGCACTGTGTTTGTTTACCTAAGTGGTCACTAGTTGCCAAGTCGGGTAAGGCGCCGGAATACGTTGTACAGAGTTGCGTCCCTTCGGCAAACCGGAACCTTACTGCCTTGGGTTCGAATCCCGTTTCACCCCGACTATGTTTTTAGGTTTTCCACTACCAAACACGTGCTCGTGGTTCTCTAACGTTAAGTTAATGTGTTAGATCAAGCTTTTCTTCCATATCAAGCCTGATATAAGTGGGAGTTGTTCAAAACGGCGGCGAACCCCACTCAGTGTGATTTTAGGAGTGTTTTACAGAGGTCCATTGTTAATATCCAATAGCCTAATTGTGTAGATCGATGCTCATGATGATAATCACTGGATTGTCTTGTCCAGACTTGAATAATTAAAGACCAAGGATATGTGACTTGAATATTGCTGAGTGCGGTGTTAACAGCACACACACAAGCAAATAGTACTGAGTAGCCTGAACCCCAAGCCAGGCAAACATATAGAGACTCGGGTCAGTCAGACATCACCCTGCGCCTTGAGTTACCTACCCTTACTCTGTGTGTATGTATTATAAGAGTTACCTACCCTTACTCTGTGTGTATGTAGTATAAGAGTTACCTACCCTTACTCTGTGTGTATGTAGTATAAGAGTTACCTACCCTTACTCTGTGTGTATGTAGTATAAGAGTTACCTACCCTTACTCTGTGTGTATGTAGTGTAAGAGTTACCTACCCTTACTCTGTGTGTATGTAGTGTAAGAGTTACCTACCCTTACTCTGTGTGTATGTAGTATAAGAGTTACCTACCCTTACTCTGTGTGTATGTAGTATAAGAGTTACCTACCCTTACTCTGTGTGTATGTAGTACAAGAGTTACCTACCCTTACTCTGTGTGTATGTAGTACAAGAGTTACCTACCCTTACTCTGTGTGTATGTAGTACAAGAGTTACCTACCCTTACTCTGTGTGTATGTAGTACAAGAGTTACCTACCCTTACTCTGTGTGTATGTAGTATAAGAGTTACCTACCCTTACTCTGTGTGTATGTAGTACAAGAGTTACCTACCCTTACTCTGTGTGTATGTAGTATAAGAGTTACCTACCCTTACTCTGTGTGTATGTAGTACAAGAGTTACCTACCCTTACTCTGTGTGTATGTAGTATAAGAGTTACCTACCCTTACTCTGTGTGTATGTAGTGTAAGAGTTACCTACCCTTACTCTGTGTGTATGTAGTATAAGAGTTACCTACCCTTACTCTGTGTGTATGTAGTATAAGAGAGACTTCATACAAGCGTGCTAATCCATGAATCTCTAATGTAGACTTCCACAAATTTATTCATGGATCGATCTATACTCGTTACCATTTTAATAGAAAATTTGGAAAAAATGTATGTGGTCAGCATCTGTGAACACGTCTCAATTCAAGCGAACTAGCGAACAGATTAGAAAACGGGCGCGGTTAAAACAACTGGTCACAAATCGGTCGCAGTGAACGGTTAACTAATCAGGTGATCTCGCCTTTCAAATGTCTCGCTCGTATCCCAAGTTCAAGTGCCCTTGGTTTGGTACCTCCTAATCAAAGGAGAGTGCCCGGGTTCTCCTTGTACATTAAATGTGAACGTTATGTTAAAGCCACCAGTAGAAGTTGTAGGGATTATAAGGCATTGTTGCCAGCAACCAATACAAGATCGGTTTGCCAGACCCAATGATTCGATTCATAGGGTGTCAGCGTATCAGATGGTGTGGGTCGGTGCTCATGATATTTATCATTAGTTTGTCTGGTCCAGGCAGTTATTTACAGGCAGCCGTCATATAGCTCATATATTGAGGCATTAACCAAAAAGAAAAACAAATATCAATTCAAACGTATCTAGTGAAGTAAGAGGAATTGTACCATACATTAACCTTTAATAAACACTCACTCACTCACTCACTCACTCACTCACTCACTCACTCACTCACTCACTCACTCACTCACTCACTCACTCACTCACTCACTCACTCACTCACTCACTCACTCACTCACTCACTCACTCACTCACTCACTCACTCACTCACTCACTCACTCACTCACTCACTCACTCACTCACTCACTCACTCACTCACTCACTCACTCACTCACTCACTCACTCACTCACTCACTCACTCACTCACTCACTCACTCACTCACTCACTCACTCACTCACTCACTCACTCACTCACTCACTCACTCACTCACTCACTCACTCACCTGAAGCGAGGCAAGGTTCCAATCCCAGATTCACGCTCTCTTCCCCAATACGGTTCCAATGAAATACCTGCATCAACTTAAGCTTGCTCACATAAAGATTACACACCATCATTTGACTGAAATTCTGTTCACGGCATTAAGCTCAATTCACTCACTCACTCTGTATTCTGTGTCTGTTTCAGCGCGACTTGACGGCGTGAAGACATACATGGAGTTGAGACGGGTTCCTTTAAAACTTCAGGATCGAGTGATAAAGTGGTTCGATTATTTGTGGATGTGCAATAAATCTAGTGATGAAGAAAAGAACCTCGGCTTATTACCGGATAAGTTAAAAGCTGAGATAGCTATTCATGTTCATCTGGACACACTGAAGCGAGTGGAAATTTTCCAGGCCACGGAGGCTGGCTTTCTATGTGAACTTGTGCTTCGACTCAGACCCGTGCTGTTTTCACCTGGAGATTATATATGCAGAAAAGGTAAGTGTATATGAAATATTCCACACGCCACCTTCCATTCAAAGTAATACTTTACGATTCCATAGCATTACATATTATATTGGCTTAACATGCTTATATTTCCATTAATGTTTCCATGAGCCGAAATTAGGCCACGCCCCCTGGAATACTGTTTCCTGATTGGCAGATCATGGAATGGGTGGGCCTTCTGTTGTATTATTAGGCTGAATGACGTCCCTGTTCTATCTTGGCTAACAGGGTATTTTGTTTTGATGATTTTGTAAACAGTCTCCGTATTTTTACTCCTGACATGTTTGGTTGTGAGAACTGACGTGAATGTGTTTTGCGTTTATGAAGCTATGAACGTGAAACCCGAGTGGAATATACCTTATACCTTACTTTTATGTTTGTTAGTGTTAAACTATTCCAAGCTCCTGTGTTGACTATAAACTATTCCAAGCTCCTGTGTTGACTATAAACTATTCCAAGTTCCCTGTGTTGACTATAAACTATTCCAAGCTCCTGTGTTGACTATAAACTATTCCAAGCTCCTGTGTTGACTATAAACTATTCCAAGCTCCTGTGTTGACTATAAACTATTCCAAGCTCCCGTGTTGACTATAAACTATTCCATGCTCCTGTGTTGACTATAAACTATTCCAAGCTCCTGTGTTGACTATCAATTATTCCAAGCTCCTGTGTTGACTATAAACTATTCCAAGCTCCTGTGTTGACTATAAACTATTCCAAGCTCCCTGTGTTGACTATAAACTACTCCAAGCTCCTGTGTTGACTATAAACTATTCCAAGCTCCTGTGTTGACTATAAACTATTCCAAGCTCCTGTGTAGACTATATGCGTCACAGTGGTCCGTTAACTCTTCAGACTAGACCTACCTGAACATGTGTTTTATTTTCTTCCCTACACAGCGCTGGAGTCGGCCGACCCTCTAATATACTCGATTATCCTATGCGTTATGGCTCAATTTGCAAGACTTCTATGAATCTGGAAAATGTTGTGTTTCTTTTATTGAATTACGTACCCAGGACCAAAACGAAAGCGACATACTGCGAGTGACGCACTATCTTCACCTCCCTTGGGCCCCTTCCACCGTATTTCTCTCGCACATGCCTGTAATACGATTGGACGTTTAGACGAAGCTACATTTTTGTTAGAACGGACACGTGATTCCATAGATAATAGAGTTTGGTCTTCGGCCAGAGTAATTATCTCACTGTTTTATGTTACAGCTTTTATATGTGTGGTTTATTGTATTCGTTTTATTTCACTGTTTGTATTTCCTCTGTGATATTATACAATATTGTCAATACTTGATACATATGGTATGATATTCATGGTATATTTTCGTTCGAAGGCAATAGGTTTTTTTATGTGACATTCATGTAAGTGAAATAGACTGAACAGGATCAAAGGGAACTCCTCGGCTTATAAACTATCCAATTACATGATGCAATATACAAAGATTTTTAATCAAAATATTTACAACCAGACTCAAAGTGAAAAATATTGTTGTGATGTGCAGCTTTAAACATGAGCTCATTCGTCTTCGTGGTCAGATCGGAAATGCCGTTTGTAGCAGAAGTGATCACCATTCCAGATTAGCTTTGGAGAAATATATGTCATGTGATTGTGCCTTGTCTAAAAAACTCGAGTGATGTCAATATAAGGACTACAAGTCACAACAGACTTAGCCAACTGGGACAAGTGGGATTGTTATAGATTACCTGGTATAGGGGGCGGATCAGGTATAGACAACAAGAAACACGTCATAAAGGAAGTGAGCGACTTTAGTTTTACGCCGCTTTTAGCAATATTCCAGTAATATCACTGCGGGGAAACCAGAAATGGGCTTCACACATTGTACCCATGTGGGGAATCGAACCCATGTCTTCAGCGTGACGACCGGACGCTTTAACCATTTGGCTACCCCACCGCCCCCCTAAAGATAAGGGATAAGTTCATTGATGGACTATGACCCTGGCATTGTGTATGTATGTATATGTCTTCTTGTTCAGCGCCTCACTCAGCACTATTCCAGCTGTATCCACCCGTGAAGATCCGGGTTAGAATATTGATCTTCGGTAACTCATGCTTGTAAGAGGCGACTACCGGATCGGGTGGTCAGGATCGCTGACTTGTTTGACACATGTCATCGGTTCCCAGTTGCGTAGACCGATGCTCATACTGTTGACCACTGGATTGTCTGGTCCAGACTCGAGTATTTACAGACCGTCGCCATATAGCTGGAATATTGCTGAGTGCGGCGTAAAACTAAACTCACTCACTCACTCACTCACTCCAGCTATATCACGGCGGGCTGTAAATAATTGAGCCTGGACATGAGAGTCCTTTGAGCAGTGCGATAAGGTGTGTCGAGCAAGTCAGTCAGCCTGACCACCCGATCCCGTGAGGCGCCTTATACAATACGTTACTGGAGTGATAGTAACCCGATCGTCTCAGCTTTTTACGTAAAATGCTTTTTACGTGTCTAAGGATTCTTGAAATTTTAGGAAGCCATTGGCAGCTTGGATGAGCAGGAAGGCATGCATTTATATCGAGAACGTCTGTAGTGTTGTCAATGACCTTTAAGGCTACTTCTGCCCCCTTGTCACCAACAGATATTAAGTAAACTTGTGTGAGTTCATTACATGAAAAAAGGTCTTGTTACCATTGTGACGTCATGAGATTGTCTTAACATCACAAACTGACCCTTTTCATCCATCCAGCCTGTCTGTCTGTCACTCTGTCTGAAATATCGCTGTTACTATATTTATTTCCCTTAGTATATGACTATATACACCTGAGGACTTCGGGGATGTCGTTGTCATGGTACCCCCGATTGCGTGGCTCGTTGCTCATAACGTCAACCACTGAGACCCGAGTATCCTCCCTCCGCAGCGATACGACTGATATATCACTGACTGCTGCGTTAATAGGAAACAAATGAGAAGCCATACACGCCCGCGATTCCATAAATGTCGTTGCCAGGCAACAAATGTCTTGGTTGATATCATGCTGCTTAGTGACCTTGATCTGCCACCCGAGCCAAAGTAAAATCTCGGGGAAAGATCAAGCCGAGTGTATCCGATTGAAGATCCGAGGGTTTCTGACGTCCTGCACACGCTGGTCATCCGTCAAATGTAGGGCTGATGTGTCATGGTAATTGTGCCAACTTGTCTTGTAAATAACACGGCAAAACGCCTCTATATGCAGAACGCAAACACCTCCATCCGCGAGGTGTTATAAATCACTCATACCACCATACACAGGCTTCTCTCATGCCTCAAATTGATTTTCCTGCCAAATTGAATTCTGAAGACGTTATGCCAGAAACACTCAACAGAAGTCAGTGAAGTGTACCGGTACTGAAGCTCATATGAATATTGCTTTAGTTTCATTACGGTACATGTTCAATTCAGTTCAGTTACAGCTGTAATTTAATAACATTGTATATGTGTATACATGTGTTATGATATTTACATGTTGATAATCAACTGATTAATTTACTTGGCAATATAAACTCATGGTGGATAAACAGCGGACTAGATAGTGTATTGGTTTATTATTTGATAAGGACGAGAAAAACCATTGAATGAAAGCTGTATCTAGCTATAGATCTGTATATACATTACAAAAATAGACTTATTATTTATATTTCATAACCCATATTGCAAGAGTCTTTATGATTTTCTGAGAAATGATTAGGCCATATCTATTACCTTTCATTACCGTCTCGACTTCAACGTGGATATCTATCAGTGGATTAATTACCACTTTAGTTACAATTAACGGATTCTGTTATTTTGTATGGAAACGGGATATTTTGTCCACTACAGCATCCACAATGCATTCTCAATGGCGGCAATATTTTCATTTTTCTCTATCTGAAGTGTGCCTGAATTCAAGCAATTACTAGGACACTTCTACTGTTCCATATAACTCCACTTCGGTGACTTGTATTGCGGGTCACCACACCCTAGTTGTGTATGTCTCTAGGTAGATTCACTAAAGCGTCACAGAGCGTCGTCACATACCTTCTATTAGAGTGCATCGTTGAACAACCAACACATCGTACAATAAGTGAAATTAATAAGGTGCCCTTAACATACCAACAGTCAGAGATTCAAAATGTTGTTAGTATTAGTTCAACACCTTCTCTATCAGAGATTCAAAATGATGTTAAAGTATTAGTTCAACACCTTCACTATCAGAGATTCAAAATGATGTTAAAGTATTAGTTCAACACCCTCACTATCAGAGATTCAAAATGACGTTAAAGTATTAGTTCAACACCTTCACTATCAGATATTCACAATGATGTTAAAGTATTAGTTCAACACCTTCACTATCAGATATTCACAATGATGTTAAAGTATTAGTTCAACACCTTCACTATCAGAGATTCAAAATGATGTTAAAGTATTAGTTCAACACCTTCACTATCAGAGATTCAAAATGACGTTAAAGTATTAGTTCAACACCTTCTCTATCAGATATTCAAAATGATGTTAAAGTATTAGTTCAACACCTTCACTATCAGAGATTCAAAATGATGTTAAAGTATTAGTTCAACACCCTCACTATCAGAGATTCAAAATGACGTTAAAGTATTAGTTCAACACCTTCACTATCAGATATTCACAATGATGTTAAAGTATTAGTTCAACACCTTCACTATCAGAGATTCAAAATGATGTTAAAGTATTAGTTCAACACCTTCACTATCAGATATTCACAATGATGTTAAAGTATTAGTTCAACACCCTCACTATCAGTGATTCAAAATGATGTTAAAGTATTAGTTCAACACCCTCTCTATCAGAGATTCAAAAGGATGTGTTAGTATTAGCTCAACACCCTCACTATCAGAGATTCAAAATGATGTTAAAGTATTAGCTCAACACCCTCACTATCAGAGATTCAAAATGATGTTAAAGTGTTAATATTAGCTCAACACCCTCACTATCAGAGATTCACAATGATGTGTTAGTATTAGCTCA